CAAATGCCGGCTTGGCTGCTTCTGGCCTCGACCCTCTCCGGAAGGGGCTGGTCAAGGCACAGCCCCAGGGCTCCGGATTCCCAGGAAATGGGGAAGCTCTCGGACAACCCATTCAGCCTCCCTACCTGGGCAGGGGCTGCCTCCCGGATGCTGCCCCTCCCTCGTCTTCCTCACCCTCTCATTCCTCTCACACCTGCCTGTCCTGTCCAGTCAGCCTGCCTCAGTGGAAATCCGGCTCCACCCCGCTTGGCAGCTGTGTGACCCCGGGCCAGTCACTCAACCTCTCTGGGCCTCGGTTGTCTCTGTCACGAATGGGCGATCACAGTCCGTCTCCAACGGCTGCTGTGAGGGTTGAATGAGGTCAGATGGGAAAGCGCTGAGCGCAGGGAGGACTTAACAGGTTCTTTAGGGCCCTGGCTGGTGTGGCTCAGTGGATTGGGCGTCGTCCCGAGCACTGAAAGGTTGCCTGTACAATTCCGGTCGGGGCACATGCCTGGGTTGCGGGCTCGATCCCCAGTAGGGGGCGTGCAGGAAGCAGCCGATCAATGATTCTCTCTCATCATGGACGTTTCGCTCTCCCTCTCCCTCGCCCTCTCTCTCTAAAAATCAATACAAATATTTAAAAATAGTTCTCTCTGGATTACTGTCCCTGGCTTCGTCCCCCCATTGGCCACGGAACCTGTCAACCATCCCTAACCATCTGTGCCCTGCCTACCTCCCGCTTCTAACATTTCCTCTTAAAATGTTTATTTTTGCCTTTATTATTCCCTTTCAGTCTGCCGCGTGCACACAAGGTACATGGAGCCCATACGATTCACCAAGTAGAATTGGTAACAAAGCCCGTGAACTAGAACATTCTGAGCCGTGAGTCTTGCTGGTGTCCCTGGGCTCCCTCTTGTCCCCTGGGCCTCTCCCCGCAACCCCCCTGCCCCGAATTAAATCCTTGTCTGTTGCTTGGTTTTGGGGGGGGGAGCGGTTTTATCACAGAGGCCTGTAACCCCAAACAACATAGGGCTTAGCTCCTCTCGTTGGGGGAGACGGGGACTTGGACATGGAGTCGCTCATGCCGCTGCCCGGGGGGTCCGCTCGGACCCACAGCCTCTCAGCTCCCCCCAAGAGCAGCTTCGCCCCTCGGTCCCCCGCCCCCCACACCCTGCCCATCCTCACTATCTTCACATCCTGACTCACCACCCAGCGAGCTCCAGCTCAGAAGGTGCCCGGTGCCTCCATTCATTCCCTGACGTCATTCCCAGAGCCCAGGACCGCGAGGTCCCCACGCTGGCCCTCCCCGGTGCCGTGGGACGGGTTGGAGATGACAAGCAGACCAGGACCCTGCCCGTGGTGGCCAAGTCTTAAAGTGCGAGTGAAACTTAACCACGGGGAGGAGCGAGGTCCTCCCAGGCAATAGAAACTTCAGGGGCCACGGCCCAAAGTGGGTGACCCAGGCCGGGCGGGGGAGTGGGGGGGGGCAGCCAGGTGGGGCCCAGTTAGCGAGGAGGGCAAGGGCTGTGGGAGCAGAGGGGCTAGCGAGGGGGGTAAAGGCTGTGGGAGCAGAGGGGCGAAGCCACAGGAGAAGCCGGTGGTGGGAGCCTAGGCCCGCTCCCCCCATTTAAACGAGGGCAGCTCTGTCTTGATCTCTGGGATGGATGTGGTTCTGTTTGGGAGCAAGATTCCTCTTGGCCATAGGTCTCCGAGTCTTAAAAATGTTTTGGAAACCATCGCCCTGGGCGCTGGGGAGCCATGGAAGGGGCTGGAGCTGGGGCTGGCCGGGGGAGATGTGGACATTAGAAGAGACTTGTGTGTGTGTGTGTGTGGGGGGGGGGATCCCTGCAGAGGGAACAGAATATGCAAAGGCCCTGGGGCAGGGAATGGTGAGGTGTGGCCAGGAAATTCGAAGTCAAGGGAGGTGACTGAGCTGGGGGCCGGAGTGCCAGGGCTAGGAGTCGCTTGGGGACTGGGAGCAGGGGAGGGGCAGCTCGAGGAAGGACTGGAGGCGGGAGGCCAGGGCGAGGCTCCCGGGGCTAAGAGGAGGCCTGAGCTGGGGCCACGGGAATGGAGAGAGTCAGGTTGGAGGGGAGTGGGGTTGGGCAGGGCCAGGCTGTGGGAGGCAGAGGGAGGACGGGGCAAGGACAGTGGGTGGGGGTCACCCTGGTGACCGCCGGGGCCCAGCCCGGAGATGGCGACCCCGGAGGAGGAGCGACTCTGGGAAGCCGTGGAGTTCAGTGGGGATGTGTGCGGAGGGGTCTGGGATGAGGGCTGTGGGAGCAGAGGGGCGAAGCCACAGGAGAAGCCGGTGGTGGGAGCCTAGGCCCGCTCCCCCCATTTAAACGAGGGCAGCTCTGTCTTGATCTCTGGGATGGATGTGGTTCTGTTTGGGAGCAAGATTCCTCTTGGCCATAGGTCTCCGAGTCTTAAAAATGTTTTGGAAACCATCGCCCTGGGCGCTGGGGAGCCATGGAAGGGGCTGGAGCTGGGGCTGGCCGGGGGAGATGTGGACATTAGAAGAGACTTGTGTGTGTGTGTGTGTGGGGGGGGGGATCCCTGCAGAGGGAACAGAATATGCAAAGGCCCTGCGGCAGGGAATGGTGAGGTGTGGCCAGGAAATTCGAAGTCAAGGGAGGTGACTGAGCTGGGGGCCGGAGTGCCAGGGCTAGGAGTCGCTTCAGGACTGGGAGCAGGGGAGGGGCAGCTCGAGGAAGGACTGGAGGCGGGAGGCCAGGGCGAGGCTCCCGGGGCTAAGAGGAGGCCTGAGCTGGGGCCACGGGAATGGAGAGAGTCAGGTTGGAGGGGAGTGGGGTTGGGCAGGGCCAGGCTGTGGGAGGCAGAGGGAGGACGGGGCAAGGACAGTGGGTGGGGGTCACCCTGGTGACCGCCGGGGCCCAGCCCGGAGATGGCGACCCCGGAGGAGGAGCGACTCTGGGAAGCCGTGGAGTTCAGTGGGGATGTGTGCGGAGGGGTCTGGGATGAGGCCCCAGAAGGGATGTGAAGGGCCCTCATGAGAGGCCTCCCTCCCTCCCTCTGGGTCCCGGGGATTCCAGAAGCTCGTGGAAAAGAAAGTTGGAAGCCCCCGGCGCAGCACCCAGGGGGCGCAGACAGTCCGGTCCAGACGTGTCTTACAGGCGAAGGTTATTTATGCCCATTTCTCAGATGAGGAAACTGAGGCTGAAACCTCCCTAGAGGCGGGAGCCCAGGAGAACCTGCAGAACCCGCGGGGCCCGGAGAAGAGAACGCCCGGACCTCCCTCAAGCAGAGCTGGGACCAGCCCACTGGCCTCCCCCAGCCTGGGAGGCCCAGAGACACCATGAGGCCTGCCTGGGTCACACAGCAATTAGAACAACCCAGCTGCTCCCATCTCTGGAATCTGGGGCACCGGGGAGGCCTCTCGGTGCCCAGCTTGTGGGTGAGGGAGGGGAGCGGGGGGCCGGATGCTGTGTTCCCTGAGCCGGGAGACCCTGGCCTGGGAGCTGGAGACCATGTCAGCAGCTTGCTGTGTGACCCTGGGCCGGCCGCCGGCCCTCTCTGAGCCTCCGCTGGCTCAGCTGAGAAATGGAGCCACGGGGAGGGGGTGCCTCCCAGGCTGCTGAGGACACAAGAAACCACAGACTCTGGGGCAGACCTACGGGGCTGAGCCCCTCTAAGCCTCAGTTTCCCCGTCGGGAACGCGGGGGCTCTGACAGTGTCTGCCCCTCCCCAGGGACGAAGGAGTCAGGCTCCAGCGGCGGGGAGTGCTCGGTCCCAACCGCCCCGGTGTGGTGTGGGGGGCCGGGCCCCACGGGACACACGGCCTCGGCTCTGGGACTCGGCTCCATCCCGGCCCCACCCACCTCTGCGCTCCCATCACCCCAGACGGAGCTGGGGTGCCTTCTGAGCTGCTGTGAGGAAGGGCACCCCGACTTGAGGGCTTGCTGGGGCGTCCAGGGAAGAAAGGGTACAACAGGTTCTCTGTTTCGTGAGCAACTACTGAGCCCAAACCCTCCGCTCGCCGCGCGCGCGCGCCCGATCCAACTCCGGGGGCCCCTCGGCA